TGTGCAGACTTTATCTTGGTATTTATTGACTTATTTTCTTTCTGCTGAGAGCTAATATAGAACACTCTACCATATTAGAAAACATAAAAAAGTCTAATGAAAATTCCAGTCATTATAGTTTATGGGTTTATTGCTTAGTCTTCATTTCTAATTTGTTTAGCTTCTCTTCTGTTCTCTCACTTTTCTTATTCTGTTTTCTTTAATTTCTGTTTCTTCTAATGGTTTTTTCAAATAACCTTGCTTTTCTTATAATGGCTATGTCTGTACTTTGAAAAGAGCCCTTTATTAGGTTAACACTTTATATAAAAATACTTCCTGTTCAGGTTACTCGGCATCTGGAATTGCTATAGAATTCCAGTTGTTTAGCTACTACCACCCTACAAACATGCATACTTGTATATACATAAAGACAAACATTGTCTGAATACTTTATTAAAGTTAGAGTACTCATTCATCCACCTCATTGCTTTAAGCTGGTGTATTTTAGCTTCTAATCTAAAACCTTTTGCCTATTTGACTGGTTCCCTTTATCAATTTTTACTGTTAATGAGTTGGTATCATAGTAATTTACAAAGGAGAGCAATGATTTCTTAAAAATATCTTTTTTAATTAATGGATTTTTATATCCTTGTGTCTAAAAACGCTTTCGAAGGAATCTTAAATTTACATTCAATCAGGGAATAATTTTGATTGATTTTGACTATCATATATTTTTCTAATACCTGAAATCTTTTATAATAAACAAAAATTGGCCATTGAATTAGTTGTAGTAGTCAGTAATATGGCTGAGAGTTTTGTGTTTATAATTGGGAAAGTCATTTTGTTTGGAACAGGAGCGTAATGGGACTCTGTTAAGGGAAGCTTGCCAGACAGTGAATTCTGAGCCTTCAGCCAACTGGCTTTATCAAAAAGGTACTAAATATTTAGGCACTAGAAAGAGTTATACCTTAGTATATACCTTAGTCAATAATGGGCTGTGGTGTTTTTTCTTGGAGTCTAGCAAATAGTTGTGGTAAAGGAGACTCCCCAAGGAGTATAAAAATGAGACTTAAGGAATAGTTACCTGGCACGCACCTGTTACGTATCTCTTGCACTATACTTAAGGCTATGATGAAGCTAATGTTTATCGAGTGCAATTTATGTGCCAGGCATCTGCGCATGCATTTTGCATCTAATCTTCACAACTCTAAATTTTGGTACTATTTATTATACCAGTTTTACAGAATGAGGAGACTTGAGGCTTATACCTGCTTTATGGATAGGGGAGGCTGAGACATCAAGTAAGTAATTTGTCCCAGGTCACACTGCAGAAGATTGGAATCCAAGCAGTCTGACTCCCAAGCCTGTGCTCTTAACTGTTGTGCTTTACTATTTCACCTTAAATCCTAAGCTTATTTTGGTGATGAGAGGTTAGGAACCTTAATGCTAAGTACTCCTGTGGCATGTCTTCTTGAATAAGAATATAGTCCTGACCCAGTTGAAAGACATCAGAGCCAGCCTGGGGAGTTTTTATTATCTGGTAAATGCCCAGCTGAAAAACTTCTCAAAACTGTTCAAATAAACTTAACTGCTTATATCTGTGTGGTGAATGCACAGTTTTCACTTATCTTTTTCCTTCTCATTTTATGAAGACTAAGTGACACTTTGAAAACATGTGTTTGAGAACTATTAATACAGCAGAATGTTCCTGAATATAATGTATACAACTAGGGATGGCTAAATTTAAACAAGTTTTAAATTTATTTGAGGACCTTATAGTTTGTTAGGGTAGTGCAGAAGCCTTTTTTCTCCTCAATCCAAGTACCCATATGTTTTCCATACTAGAGCAAATTTGAGGAATAAGATGATATATTTGGTTTTGGACATTTTTAGACACATTGACTGTGAGGGGCACTGATGTGGACTTGGCTAATAGTTTAGTGACTGGATTTAGAGATCAGGAACTGAACTAGGATGGAAAAATTTTTTTTTTTTTCAATTTGTTACGTGTATTTTCTTAAAGCTGTGATCTAAAACCATTAGTGGCATAAAGAATTTGGGTGGATATAGAGGCAAGGCTGCATAATACAGTCATAGAGAGAGTCCTGATTTGGGAAATGAGAATTCTAGTTTTAGTTTTGTTATGCTGTGAAGAGTCTTAGACCTTGGGCACCTCAGTTTACTCACGAAAAATTGAATCATTTCAGTCTTGTCTATTACTGAAAAAATTTCAATACACCTGGGCTCTGTTACTTAAATATATCTGATATGTACAGGTGGTACCTCTGGATCAGGAATCAGGAAATTTATTCCCAAGAACCACCTTCATGGCATAGAGTATATAACTACACAGGGAAGAAGAGAAGCAGGAAAGATGACAGAGCAAAAGAGACCTGTTTAAGCCAATAAAATACTTTACTTATACATTTTTAGTGTATGAACTTCTGTATACAAATGAACAAAAGCTATGTGCTAGCAAAGGCATCTTTTTCTACCTCATCAAATGTCTTAGTGATTGTGGGGAGCCACTTCAGTTTTGGCTTATTACTGTTGGTTGTTAGTGTGTACTGTAAGGTGTGGGTTTGTTGATTACTTATCCTTATTTTTGAGATTTCTGAAAGACAGTTTTTAAAGCACAATAGCTGGGTGGAAGTGCTACTAAGAAAAGGTACGTAATAGCAATGAAAAAGAAAGCGAAACTTTACATAGATGTATTCACATTGGTACCATGTCACTTTGTACTTACAAGCAAATAGGTTTTGGAATAGCCTTTTGAAACCTAATCTTTTACAAAGAAACTTCAGTATCAGGAAACGTCCCTTGATTCTGGTTATATTTTCTTACTGTTTTTTCAAATTTATAATAGTTTCCTCTTTATCAAAAGTACTTTAGTTGTTCTTTTTTTTTTAAATAAAGAATATATGTGGAAATAGTTTAAATATGTAGTGGTAGATATTTAAAGCAATATCTGTCATTAACATAATCCTTTTTATCATTACTGTGGGCACACAGGTTTGGTAGGTACAGAAGAAATTTTAGACAATGGTTAATTACTTCCCTAGAAGAGGTTTTGCTCTGATTATCTTATTGCCCAGCACATTGCCTTGCAGATAACAGGCACTCAAACATTTATTCATGTGAATTGGGGGGACACAATTTTCAGATGCATACAGTGTACAGTTAATGCTAAATCGATGCTACAGGCAGTAAGGGCTACATTTCTGAAGGGAGCAATCCTTATGGGTTGAGGCTTAGAGGTTGGAAGGCTTTGTGAAAGAAATGGAACTGGAGTTGAGCATTGAAGAATGGAAAAGATGCGATTGGGTGCTGAGAAGTGAGAGGTGGTGTTGCAGACACAGGAAATAATAAAAGTTGAGAAGGGAAGCAAGAATAAATGTAGTTTGTGTGGAGGAACATAACAGGCCTACTATAGAGGAATTGGGTTGGGTAATAATTTAACAGAAAAGATATTGTAAGTAACAGTTGTCCAAGGCCAGATGTATGTCTTATGTTTATATATCTATCTGTGATCAATTTAAATCAAAACCCTTTTTCCCCTTCCTCTAGATAGTGGTACATTGCTCAAAAACTACCTTAATGTGCTAAAAATATTGGCCCAATGTTAGAGTTGAACTCACTGTTAAAAGGGGTGGGATGGGTGGAAGTGAGAAACTGCAGGGTTGGAATTTAGTGTAGTGAGTAGAAATATAATCTGAATTGAATTCTTAATCTTTACTTTATTTGACTTCCAGTTAGGGAATCACAGTCAGCCATCATGACCCCTAGAACCCAGAATATATAGGGAAGTGACTTTACTGAAATTAGGAAATTGAGTATGTGATTCGGCTAGCACATATTAACTGGATTTATGTTTTCAGGGTAACTGATTCACCATGTCAGCTCCATCCCTGAACCTGAGTCTTTAACATTATTAGGAAATTTGTGGCCGTCCTTTCTTTGGAGTCGACTTCTTTTTTGAAGTATTTGTATTAAAATTGTAAATGCCGTTTCAAAGAACTAGATGTTATTTAATGTGGTTATTTTTTATATCTTTGTCTTTTTGTGTCACATTTATGGTTATAACCATTTGATGTAATATTTAATAAAATTGTGATAAACACCTAAGTTAATTTTTTTCCTTTTCTTTTTGTTAGTAATGGTAACTTTTTTATTTTAATAGGCAAACATCTTTGGCAGAAATTTTTAAAACATTTCTCCCTCCACTGTGAAGTTGTTTTCACTCTTAAGCGTTTCTGTTTTTCAACTATTGTAAAGTGCAGTTCTTTGCATGTTCTAATTTGCCATGACGTGGTCAAGTGCTGTTTCCTTCCTGTTGCTTGCAAGCCTGTGTTAGAGATAAGGATACATTTCAGTGCATTAAAAAAGAAGCCACTGAAGACAAACTTAAGCATGGTAACTCTTAAAGCATTCTACTTATCAGAAGTCTTTTTAAAGATCAGAAAGAATGGGCTTTAATTTCTGCTTATTTTTTAAAACTCTTAAAATATTACTTACTAAATTTTAAATATATTAGATTTTAAATTCTTATTTATATTAGGCCTAACAGGGATGCTGTCTGAATGTTTCTGTTAAAGGTAAAAATGTACATTATGAAATTACTCCGGGAGTAGCAGTTCCTGTGTATGTGGTTTACTGGGTTAGTGAAAAGATGGAAATTGTTTATATGTCCTTAATTGCAATTACAAACCTCATTATTATTGCTAGGTGGTCGCTTTAACTATAGTTTAACTAAGTGGAAGAGGAAGAAAGTCTTTATTTTCGGTAATGAGAGGTGACTTTATCTTAGCAGGAATGAAATCTTCAGAGAAAATGTATATCTAACTTTTTTAAAAAACCTGTGTTTATTAGTCTTGTTTTTCATTATTTTGTTTAAAACCATTAGCAACAACAACAAAATACTTTGGAGATACTGCCCTCTGTATCAGTTGTTATATTCTAAGTGGATTCTAAATGGGTGATTGCTTTTTCATAATTAACTTAAGCTTTTGTTTTTTTCAGGCCAAGAAGTTTGAGAGAAGAAAAATTTCAGAAAAATTGCTTCGGTTTGAGTAGAACATCAGTGAATGAAGAAAAACTGAAGCACTTTTCCTAAAGAAAATCTAGGTACACAGTAACTTCACAGACTTAGCTGAAGGTTTTTACCCAAATTGGCCACTGGACTCTGCTGTCTTGATACTTGAACGAACTATTTGGAATTTTTCTCATGTGGATCTAAGGGGAATGCTTTATTATGGCTGCTGTTGTCCAACAGAACGACCTAGTATTTGAATTTGCTAGTAACGTCATGGAGGATGAACAACAGGTATGAGACCAAGAGAACATTGGATTTTAATAAATTTATTATGATTTTTTCCATTTGTGTCAGAAATTATTTACTTTAAAAGACAGTCTTAAAAACTTTAGGGTTAGGGTTAGATATTGGGAGATAATATCTTATATTTTAACTACCAGTTAATTTACTAAGTATAAATCTTATCCTTAGCTTTGATGTGATAACAAGGAAGTAACACTTTTGTTTTACTGGGTTCAGCTTGTTTTTCTGTAAAATGAGACTTAACAGTGAATACCTTAAGTAATTATTTCAAAGTACTTTGAAAAGTTCTAGAGAACCTAACTTTTAATGTATGTGGTTAATTAATAATTATAATTGTGCGCTTTTTCTTAAAGCGGTGAAACGATGTTTGCAGTTCCGTAATCATACATCATTTCAGTTCAAAGCATGTGACTTTGAGGAAGCTCCTTACTTCTCTAGATCTAGATTTAATCATCTGTAGAACAAGGGGATTGAACTGAAGAATTTCTAAATAGGTTTTCATTGAATTGATACAAGATATGCAAATTACTGTTTTCAGAATATAAAAAAGACCTAAGAGATATTGAGTAAAGGACCTAAGATTAATTCTAACCTGCCTCCCCATCCCCCCAAAAAAGGGGCTAGGGGAGGCTAGGGTTTCTTAGGACTTTACAATTTACTTCATTTTAAACAGGTTATATGGGGAATTCAAGACATGATGTGGGAGAAATAACTGTTGGTGAGAAGCAATGTACTAGGAAAAGTATTTCGAGAACCAGTAGGTTTAATATCTGCCTAAAAAGGTTGATTTATATATTGAAATAAGCTTAATCCTAAATGCCTCACTTTAATAGGCCAGTTATAATATGTCATGCTTTTATTCTAGAAACGTAGTTACTACAAATAATAAAATCAATTCTTTCTTTTGTTAGGACAGTATAATTTCTTAGCTGTTTTTACTGCCCATTGAAGTGACAGAATTAAAGGTTTATAAATAAACCTACAAAAGGTGAGAATTTTTGTATTAAGTTGCCTTAAAATCAAGATGAGCTTTGACTAGAGAAGAAAAAGGTTTGAAGGAGAGGATTGCTTGGTCTCAATTAAATATATATTAATAATGATAGAATTTAATCGGGAGATGATAGAAAAGATATTTCAGGAGGAGAAAGTGTTTTGAATTTGTTTTAAGACAGGGTGTTTACATATATATTGAAAACAGTGTGTTTATTATGCAGCCCTTTTAGATGAAAGATCCTGTTATAGATCCCAGGCTTGATGTGGTGAGGTTTGATCTCAGGGTGTGGCAGCAGAGGACAGAGCTCTAAGCCACTCAATTTTGATACTCTTTTGACCATGAGAAGTGCATTTTACATTATGGTACCATATTCATACATGTGTCTGAATAGCCTTAAAAAAAGTTTTGCAAAACAATGCTTGTGCACTTACTACGTATGATGCACTTAGTATATCTTGAAAGGTTATTGATGTCTTTGGAAAGGGAGATGGTGCTTTTAGCTTAACATCAGCATGTAAAAGTACATATATGTATTTTCTTCAGTTATTTTTTTCTAACAGAATGAATCTATATTAGTTTTGTACAGGTATTATTATAAGGATTTTACAAATATTAGCCATGTGAGGTAAATACTAATATCCGTATTTTACAATGAGGAAATTGAGACATAAAGAGGTTAAGTGACTTGCCTAAAATCATACAGCTAGTGAATAGTGGAGCTGCAATTTGAACCCAAGCAGTTTGACTCTTACTAATGATGTTGTATACTTTTGCAGCTATGCATAACAATCTTACTGAATTATTATCACTGTCAAAATGTTTGAAGCCATTGGCCAGGTTTAGAGTTCTTCAATCTGTGGCCATGAGCATAACAAATTTAACTGCTTCATGTGACGGTAGATTGGTAGTGTCAGTCTCATCTAACACTCATCTAGATGAGTGTTAGCATCTCATCTAAACCTGTGGCTCTATTTCCTTATTTGTTTGTTTGTTAATTTGTTTTTTATTTTAATATAAAAGTAATAACTTTCCGTTTATAAAAGTCACCTAATACAAAAATGTATAAATTAGTGAAAATCTCTTTTCACCCTTATTAGCTAATGCTGTTCTCCTCCCCCAGAAGAAACAAGTATTAACTATTTGATATGTAATTTTTTAGACAAAAGTCTAAACAAATGAACGATATGCCTACATACAAAACTACATACAGAGGTCGTTTTTAAGATACAAATGAAGTTATGCTAAACCTTTTTTGTGACATGTCTGTTTTCACTTAATATGTTATAAATATTTCTGTGTGTATATGTTGGCTCCACATCATTTGCTTTTCTATATGATGAATGGCATATTATTTATTTTATCAGTCATTGATCATGGCTATTACCAGTATTTTGTTATAATATATGAGTACAGTATTGCAGTGAACATCTTTGAGGAGTCAGTAAACCTAACTAGTGACAGTAGTGGTTTAAGAGCTCAGGTACCAGAGTCAGAACACCTGGGTTGAATACTGGCTCTACTGTGACCTTAGGCAATTTACTTAACCTCTCTGTGCTTTGGTTTATAAATTTTATATCTGATAGGGTATTCCTCCCGACCCCCCAGATTGGGGTAGGCTTTTTAAATTTTACAGTTAGCTTGTTAAGTTACATAAAAATCCTGTTGGGGTTTTAACTTTTCAAAGTTAAAAGGTATTTATGTTTTTAAAAATAACTTATTCTATTTTATGATCCTCTATTGGTTGATTCTTTACAAAATCACTGTTTCAAGGTAACAGATAAGAATATATTTCCTGTTTTCAGTTATGGTCTGTGGTTATAAATGTAATTGTTTAAAGAATCCTTTAATGTCTAATTGCCAGCACCTTGATCATTTTTCCTTATATCAATTTATACTCTTCAAAATTGCTTGGAACTCTTGGATAGAGATAGTGGGGGTGGGGGAGTGGAAAGGAAATATTAACACTCGTGGTGCTGACAATTTAAAAGTCTGTTCTTGCCATCTATTCTAAAGTGGGAATATTTGTAGCTGAGAATGAAAGCACTTCTATGAGAGAGCAAAACCATCAGTATGGAAATAAAGTATACTTTTATGTGAAGGTGCTTTGGTTTTAACTTATTAAACAGGCATGTTTGGTGAATGTATGAGAGTAAGAAAGCTTGAAGTCTGTGGATACAAATTTCCACAGAGAAGGAAACTTGACTATATACTCAAATATTCTAGAAGTTAATTCCATGAAAAACACCTGGTAGTTTAGTACTTTTTATAATTTTTGATATGTTATTACACTGTATGTTTTTTCAGTTGTGTTTAAAAGAAGAACTTCTGGCAAATCATAGTTATTTATGCCTGAAAGACTTAGGTCGCTAGGGAGAAGCTTGGTGACATGCTTGGAAAAAATGAACTAGTGGAACCAATAGTTTTATAGAATCTCATCATAATATAAGGAGATGGTCTTAGGACTTTCCTTCCTGGAGTGTAAATTGGCTTGCTCTGACTGCTAATTCCTAGTGGTTAAAGGATGACAGTGCCTTGCTGTGTTTTTAACAAGTTGTTCAGTGATTTTTTCATGCAGTATTTGCTTAGAACTTTCCTTCCTAGAGTGTAAATTGGCTTGCTCTGACTGCTAATTCCTAGTGGTTAAAGGATAACAATACCTTGCTGTGTTTTTAAGAAGTTGTTCAGTGACTTTTTTCATGCAGTATTTGGGAATCACTACTCAGTGTAACAGACATAAATGCAAAGTGCTGTGGATACAGGGAATGGAGCATTGCAACTTTGGGAAAGCTTCACCATGGAACTTATATTTGAATGGATTTTGAAAGAGGATCCAGTTTATCTGACAGATGAAGAAGGGGAGGTGTTCCAGAACAGCAGAATGTACCAAAACTTTAATGAATTTTTCTTGACTTCATAATCAGTCCAAATACCTTAACTTATTGTTAGAAGCTTTTCCAGTGTGATTGTGTTATACTTTTATTTCTTGTACTATGTATTTTTGCCAGCCTACTGTTTTCCCAAATGTTTTCGTGCTTCCCTGTTTGTTCAGAAATGACCTCCTGCATTCATACCATGTTGCATGTTTAAATTCTAATTATTTTTCAAGGTCTTAGAACAAAAAGTGCTTATTCCAGGAACTCATCCTAAAATCATTTTTTAGGAATTAATAACTTTATCCTGTTATTCTTGTATCACTTATTGTTCATGTCACACATTTGCCATGTTGAATTTTCATATACACGTTACTAATTTCCCCCAAGTAAGTGCTAAACTATTTGAAGAAAGGGATTACCTTTTCCCCCCCTTTATGTCCCCCAAAGCATTTAATATTATTGAGTCCTCCTAGAGATTTTTCTTCCTCCTCTTAATCTGTTAATAGAATGATCTGTTCTCTAAAATAGATAAAATTTATCCATTGGTAAAAATATATATGTTCAGTTGTGGGAAATATGTGTTCAGTTATGGTCCTTCTCACATTAGAAGATCTTTGAACGATGAGAGGTGATACCTTGCCCCCACAACTCTCTTGACTACAGTATATATTTTCCTGGGATCTTTTATCTACATCCTCATTTAGTGCATGAGCAGTGTGGCCATGTCTCTACAATTCTAAGACCAAAAACAAATATACATGGAGTCTTTTTTCTGATGATATTTGGAACTGTTCGGTTGTACATGTTCAGTGAAAACCACTGCAAATAACTTTTGAAAATTGTCATTGAAATTGTAAATAAACAATCTATTAAATGAAAGTGTTCACTTTTATTAAATCTAGTTGGTGGACATGCAGGTGCTTTTATTTTTTTCTCTACTCTATTGTATATTAACATCTTTTTTCCAAAATAAAAATAATCAGAGAGAAGTTAATATTATCTATATAGAGCTTTCCTGTATCTTTGGAGAACTCTTCAAGTTGCAAAGGGAGTTTTTGACATGGTTCTATTTTAAGAATGAGGGTGTATGTATGCCATTTTGCAGCTAGGATGGTAAGATT